ATCAAATGGTTCAAAATTGAAACAAGCAAATCGAGTCCACAAGGGAATGTCTAATTACAGAACGCCTGGTCACATTAAAAAGAATTGTTGGCATGTCCATCAAGGAAACTATCATGGCAATGTCTCCAATAATTATCGTGGTCAAAGTGCTTCAAAAAATCAAGAACATAGTCATGGTTTTAATAGACATTGTGGGCGTGGAGCATACTCTAACCACAGAATAAACAGTCATCAAGGTAATAGTTTTCTGTTACCTTGATGACTGTTTATTGATGACTTGATGATGTTTTGTTATTGAAAGTAACATGTCAAGTTCCTGTGTAAATACTGTGACGAATAAAAATGAAATCAATTGGTTACTGGATAGCGGATGCACAAAGACCACATTATAAACAGTGATGAATATTTCAAAGAGCAAGTCACTTTGAAGGATCCTATTTTCAAGTGAAAGTCGGTGACAGGGAAGGATTTTGAAAGCTACAAAGGTTGGCAATATAATAGTTTCTTTTCCTGTATATAACTCTGAATCTATTGTAACATTGAAGAATGTATTTTATGTAAAAGAAATGAAAGCAAATTTAAGTTATTCGAAATTACTGATAATCATAAAATAGTTTTCAAAAGAAAAGTTTTCTAAAATATATGATGTCAATGGTTCATTAGTAGCAATAGCAAAGAAGAAAGATTATATAAAGTAAAGAGTTATGTTAAAAATAAAAATAGTAAAATATTTGCAAATTTGGACCAACAATAAGTTAACGTTAAAAGAAAAATTGCACCGTTCATTTGGACATGTAAATTTTAAATATCTGGATATTATGTGCAAAGATCAGCTATTAGAAGGAATCCCTAAAGAAATAGAAACCGAATATATGAAGTGTGCCATATGTATTGAAAATAAAATGCACAATTTACCATTCAAGAATAATAGAAGAAAAGCAGAAGATATTCTGGAGATTATACATACAGATGTAAATGGACCTCACAGAACAATTGGATGTAATGGTGAGAAATACTTTGTAAGTTTATTGATGATTATAGCAAGTTGGCAAAAATTTATTGTATCAACTCTAAGGATCAAGTCTCTGATTGCTTAATTGAATATGTAAATGAAATTCAAAATTTAACAGGGAAGACTATCAAAGAACTAAGATGTGATAATGGTAGTGAATATATGAATAGCAAGATATACAAATTTGCAAGAGAAAAAGGTTTCAAGATAAAGTCATGCCCACCATATGTACACGAATTAAATGGTACTGCTGAGCGTTACAACAGAACTATAATGGATATGGCAAGATGTCTTTTAGCCGAAGCAAAAGTTGACAGACGTTACTGGCCTGAAGTAATTAAAGCTGCTGCTTATTTGAAAAACAGGACATTAACAAATACTATTGTAAAGAAGACACCATATGAAATATTTTTCAATAGGAAACCATCTGCTAATGAATTGAAAATTACGGAAGTAGAGTGTATGTAAGAATACCAGAAGAAAAGAGAAAAGTGGGATAAAAAGGCTGAATTTGGAATTTTACTTGGTATACAGAAGTTGGATATAGAGTTTTGATGAATAACATAATTATGTTGCCAGGCATGTTGATATTGAAGAAGACATAATGTGTGTAGGTTGTGTGATGAAGAAGATGAGAAATGATGATACAAATAAGAAGAATGAACCTCAAGAAGTGTCATGTGAATCGAGTAATGATAACTCCAAGGACAGTGTGATAAATGAAGATGAAACAAAAAGTGGAATGACGAGACCAAGAAGGCAAATCAAACCACCAGTTCGATTTCATGAAGAATTCGGGTACTACTGTGTTAGTGCAAATTTTTGTGATGCTACAGTTCCAGGTAACTTTGAAAATTTTTGTGAGCTACAGCAGGTAACTTTGACAGGTTGACAACAGCGAGGCTGGACATTGGAAAGAGGCAATGGACAGTGAAATGAACAGTCTTGTTAAAAACAACACCTTGGACACTAGTGACTAAACCAGAGGATAAAGCAATTCTAGATGTGAAGTGGGGTATTCAAAAGAAAACCAGGTAATGTTTTTAAAGTGTAGTTTTATTAATGGTTCAAGGTTTTATTAGTGGTTCGAGGTTTCCAGCAAAAAGATAGTATTGAGGATACTTACTCCCCTGCCATTAAGATGCAAACCTTAAAATTGTTACTTTCATATTCTTGTCAGTATAATTTAAATATTCATCAAATGGATGTTGAGACTGCTTTTTTAAATGGTTATGTTGTATCTGAGGCTTATGTTAAACAACTATAAGGCTATAATGAGAATTCGAATAGAGTGTATAAAGTAAAGAAAGCACTATATGGGTTGAAAGAAAGCCCTCATGCTTGGTATGAACGTTTTAATGAGTATATTGAGAGTCTAGGATGTCATAGAAGTAAATATGATTATTGTCTTTAAAAAAATCTGAAAATGGTGTATTTGTATATATTCTTTTATGTGTTAATGATTTGTTGATATGTTGCAAAGATACTCAGGTAATCAATTATATTAAAGAACAACTACATAATAAATTTAAAATGAAGGATTTAAATAAAGTAAAAAAGCTACATTGGAATTGATATTGAATATGATAATGAGAAAAGCAATATTCTTAACACTGAAGTCAGGAAAATTATATTGAATCTTTAGCTAAACTGTATGGTATTGAAAATTTCAAAGCTTTATGATACTCCAATGGAGATTAATATTAAACTTATTTAATCAAAATGTTAAACTAAGCCAATCTAATTTAAATCAAAATGTTCAAATATAGAAATCTAATAGGAGCACTCTTGTATATTAGTCATGGTACTAGAACCAGACATATCTTTCAGCGTAAATTATTCAAGTAGATTTCAAAATTGTTATGATGAGACACATTTCAAATATGCTTTGAGAGTTTTAAAGTATTTGTACTTACAAAACATCTAAAATTAATCTAAAATTTACTATTCAGTTCTATAGTAAAAATCTTAAAACTGATATTATGAATTGTTATGTTGATGCTGATTGGGCAGGTGATATTGTTGACAGAAAGCCAACTACTGGGTGTGTTATTGAATTATTTGGTAATCCAATTTATTGGAAATCCAAAAAGCAAAATTGTGTGACAAAATCTTCCACTTTTGTTGAATATATTGCTCTATCTGAGGCTGAAACAGAAATAATTTCTTAAAAAAGTGTTGTGAATGATGTTTTTGCTGATATAACTCACCCAATTAAAATTTATGAAGATAATTCACGAGCTTTGGTTATTGCTAATTATAGGAACTTCACTAAAAATTCAAAACACATAGAAGTTCAATTTCATTATGTACACGAAAATGTTCAAAATGGAGTAATTGAAATTGTAAAGATTGGTTCAGAATCAAATATTGCAGATATCTTTACTAAGTCAGTAGGAAAGAATAAATTTATGAAATTCAGAGAAGGTTTGAAATTGAAATAAATTTTGTATACTGTTTATTTAAATATTTTTGTTTATGTTGAAATAGATTTTGGTAATATCCTTATGTAAACTAAATTGTATTTAACTTTGATTTTAATATTTAAGTTAATGAAAGAAACTTTTTTTGAAATAATTTGCGTTAAGTGTTGAATGTTATTGTTTCTATCTATGCTTAATTGTACTTGGTAAAGATGAAAAGGTTGCTTATGTCTATGTTTGTTTGTAATTAGTAAATATAAATGTAAGGAGGTGTGTTTGGTACATGTAACCTTTAAATGATATTGTAAACATGGGGGTTGAATCTATTTTATTTTAAAACGCATTTCTATCTACTTGTAATATTTCAAATCCAGCCCTGATTGTAAAATTTTCTTAGTTCTTACTGTATTTTTACCTTGTTGGCAACACTGAGTTTCTCCACTGCGTACGAGCTTTGGATGTTATTAATGTAATGTTGTGCCTGTGTTGTTGCTCGTTCAATAAAAAATGTGAAAAGATACGTTTCTTAATTTTCGACTTGCTTCTTGATATGATATTGGTTTACTTAACAAAAATGTTTAACATGAAGCTAAACAGAACAACTTTGAATTCATTAGAGTTGTCTATCATGAAGGGGCAATAATAAAGGTTACACATGTCGAATTCCAGCAAGTTGTTGGTCTGTTAGATAATTATTCTGTCGAATGCTGCATGATACAGGTCTGTGTTACAATGTTAACGGAATAGTAATGAAAGTTTTTGGTGGAATATGTATTTTTTGTGAGTGACAAGCCTACAGAATACATACAGCAATTATTCATTGAACAGTTTGTTGATCTTGTTGTTCCTCACAGTGATACAGTGTGTGATTTAATTGTAAACTTCATGCTATAAGCAGCATGGTGGAGAAAAACGTGAGCCCTCTATTCTGACAAAGGAAAAGGTGGATGAGGTTGTAGACAAAATGATGTAGAGTCCTTGAAAACCATAAGAAAGCAGTATCAGTGCTGGTATTTCACACAGAGCAGAGAAGCATAAGACTGGATTATTCGTACATAAAAGAATATCAACAATAATACTTCTTCGTGCAGATTTAAAGACGAGAAGTACAGTCTTTCCAATATAGAAAGAGACAAAAAAGCTGCTATGTTATCCATTTAACACTGATTTCAGTTACAAAAATTTGAGATTTATATTTCTTTAAGAAAAAATCAGAGGTTCTCTGTTTAGACTGAATAAGTTTTATTAAAATACATACAGAAAATGAGCAAGGAATAAACATACAAAGCAAGGAACTAGTTAACATCAAAGGTACAATGCAATAAAAAACAGGCAATAATGATTACTTCAATGTCACTGAAATGGAATAACTCAATTCTTATTTATATGTATGTATAGCTCACTGAATCCACTAGTCAAAGGCTTGATAAAGTTTGCAAAACTAGAGGTGAACTACCTATATTTTATTGAATTAAAATAACACTATTAAATAAGGGGTATGCAATTATATCTGCAATAATATTAAATGTGTCCATTTACTTAGACAGGAATAATTATGCTTATACCTGAATAGGTTCATTTCCACTATCTAGGCCTAAATAGGTGCAACTATCAAGAGGAACTTGCACATGAAGTGACAACAAGCTTTCTGCTACGTTGGTCTTGAAGAAAACAATCCCTGAAACCTAAATTTAATGTAAAGATAAAATATTTTGTGAATTAAAACAAATCAAGCTTTTACTACTAAATAATACTTACATGATGAAAACTCTTAAATGATTCATTATAATACTGACTTAAATCAAAATTGTTAGAATAATGAATTTAAATATTTTTTCCATTATCATGATGAATACATAAAAAGTTATGTACATACTATATGAAATAAAAATAAATATCTGTTGAAAAAACAAAAAAAGTTCAAAATGGCTATTTGACTTTTTTTTAATTGCCAGGCTCAAAAGTCAGTAATAAAAGATAATAGCTATTTCCAGATACAAATACATGTTACAATCTCAAATCTTCAGTATCAAGTTATTTATTTTCTCTTGTTACAAAAATGATAACTAAAAAAGGTAATAAAATTTTATTACACTTTACTTATACATAATGAATATAAAAATTCCTATCTCTTTTTCTACATATATATAATTAGTATCTAGCTGAAATGGTGAATTTTTCAGCAGGAAGACACAAATTAAAACAATTAAAGCAAAAATTTGGAAAACACAATTAAAATAACACCAAATTAAAAAAAAAAAAAAAAAAGTGAAAAGAAAAGTTCGCGTACAAGTAAATAATACTTATAATTCTTTGACCCTTGTTAAGAAGCTGCCAGAAGAATTATTAAAAGAGCAGCATTTCTGAATTATATCTGAATAAATCGCAAAATTAATCAAAGAATTCCTTATATTAAAAACTATTAAATGAGAATTATGTACATACTATTGTTACAAATTTTGTACATATTTAAATAATCTGAGTTAAATTATACATGAAACTGATGCATTTTTTTTTTTTTTGTACAATGTAAGATGAAAAATCTAGAGACGATGCTCTGCTGGAAAAATAAGAATACAGGCAGATGTTTATTTAACATTGGGTAATTTGGAGAGATATTTCCAAGCTGGCAATGGTTTTGATGACTGCGATATACTGTATTATTCTGTGTTTCTGTCGCCAAAGCAATACTTCCCAGAGAATCAAGGAGTTCCTTGCAGAGCCTTAGATCGAAGTTTGCCTTATGTTCCTCCACGGTGGGATGAAAATAAATGGAGAGAAGAAGATAGGCACCTTTTGCCATATAGAATAAGCACAAACAGCAGCTGTGTACTTGAGGTGGGTGGTCGAGCTGGGGGAGGCAGAGTCGGTTAGGAGCAGAAGCCAATGAGCGTCGGAGGAGGCAAGAAGTTAATATTTCCAAAAGTGACATTTTGGTAATAACTTTTGCATAGTCATATGGAATGTTACCCTTCAATATATTCATAAGAATATGGGCAAGGCATTGGAGATATTTTCTAAGGCAAGCAATTCTTTGTTGGCAGAAACAAAATAAAGTTCATAAATATTATGTTGTAAGCTGATGCTGACATGTGATTGGCTGGCGTCTGCCACGAGCACTCGTCAGAAGAGAAGGTGGGAAATCCAAAAAATATATCAAAGTAAACAGTAAAAATACTTGCAAAAATTAACAATCTTCTTGTCTGACTAAGTATAAGGTATAAGAAATAATAAATAAATCCCCCTTTATGACATCATAGTTCAGGATGCTGACGTAATTAGCAGTCTTACTTGCGGTTGCTTTTCTGAAAAAAAATTATCATTTAGCCTGGTAAGATAGTCTTTCATATACTCAATTTTCAAGTCGTGGTGCAAGTTTTCGTTCCTTATGAAATATGGGGTGTTAATAACCATCTACAGAATCTTATTTTGCAAAACTAGTAGTTTTGAATATCACAATCTTTGGTACACGCCCAGGCCAGGGAGGCATAAGCGATGAGAGGCCTAATGATCACGATGTAGAGTCTTCTTTCGTGACTAATTTTTGTCTTCGAATTTAGTGAGAAATCACCTAAAAGTCGTCAAACCTGGAAGCCATGGCCAAACTTTCTGTGTATTTCTGTGAAAACTGCATTATGTTACTGTCTACAATTTTCAAATTACTGAATTTTTGGTTTTTCTGCTACTTTTGGATAACCCAGCACATTATAATTCGTTAATAATTTAATACAACTTTTTTTTTAACTCAATATTAATGAATTAAAAACGTTATTTACTCAAATAGTTTACCCCCCATTTTTGCTGCTTTTATAATTTGAAAATCAAGAGGGAAATATTATGCAGCATATACCAAGGGAAGGGTAACTTTGGACCTTGTTTAGCTTTCATTTCTTCAATTTCAGAAGAAAATATTTGGATTATGGTTACAGAATTCCCACTGAAATTCAGTTTTCAATTTCCATGATTTTTATTATTATTTCCTTCTCAAACTAAACAACTTCTCTGATTAAGGTAAGAAGCTAGTTATATTGTGGCTATGCCATAACGTTAGGGCTACTATAATCCCACCTTGTTAGCAGGTCAATGCAAGACTGCATGTTGCCAGTGCTACCTCATCCTTGCTTAGTGACTACCTTGGATATTTGACAGTTGACTACCTTGGCTGGCAAATCCTTCAGATGTCTCACCAACTGAAAACATCACACCAATTATTGGACAGAGACTCGCACAATAATGCCACCAGCCAGTATGACAGATTAAGTCCAGCATAAAATTGAAACTGTATGGACTGTGATACCTGTAACTGGCATTCACAGCTTGTTCAGTTCCCTGTCCAGCTCTATAATAGCTGCTATTATTAGTAGTGAAAGATAGTATGGGTTCTGATTTCTGATATTCTGCATATGTTAAAATTAATATGATTTTTGCATATGTTAAAATTACCTGAAATTGTATTCATTTCATTCTTTCATAATAATGCTTTTGCAAAATAAATGTTATTTTGCCAACTGTTTTCTCTCATGGTGTAGCAAGTTTAAAAAACTGTAGTGTGTTTTAACATCCTAATTTTAGGGATAATATTTCATTAAAAAAGAGAAGATTAATTGAGAAAACTTCAGAAATTAGTGTAATTATTCAAGCTTTGACAAAAAAAGAATTTGGGATATTTTTATTGGAATAGAAAGGAGAAAAAAAATCCTTATGTCAAAAAAAAAAAAAAAAAAAAAAAAAAAAAAAAGCAAAGTTCCATGAATAATATCAGTTGAAATTTTATAATATTTAGCTCTCAAATATACAGAAAATTCTTTTCCAAAAGCATTAAAATATTTTTTTAAATCAAAGAAAAGGCATCAATAAAATGAATTATGGCTAAATATAGACAAATATTTATGGAAAGCAAATTTGTATACCAAAGGCACTTTTTCATCACCATGAGAAAGATTTTTTATTTGGCTGAGGGAGGCACAGTAATATATATCAGCAATATATCCCTGCAAATAAAATAAAATAAAATAAAAGCATTTACTTGATCCCAGATGTAAAACATACCTGGATTTCAAATAATTAATTTAAATCTAGTAAGATAATATGCAGAAAGTATAAAATTACAAATATGAAATAGCTATTTAAGAAATAATGAAGCATTTTTATCACCTTAAAAGAGCCAAAATTTTCAAAATGGACTATTAAGTTAGCATTTATTTTGTTTTATTAAATGTTTCATTAATTTTGTTAAATTTTATTTTATTTCTTTTATGTGTGTGCGTTTGCATGTGTTAATATTTTCTTTTTTATTTTATAGAGACATATAATTTCTTGATCAGTTATAAAGTTCCATTGTTTAGTTGGGATGAGAATTCTCACTAAATAGACAAGTGAATTCTTTTCTTTCTTAACATCCTTTTTATCACTTTCTTTAATACTGGTGGTGATATTTTTTGGTTTCAAAACCATGTTACAGATTTTGTCACTGTTAATTGATTGACGACTGAGGTATCATCCCTTCAGTTACGCTACTTTCATTCAGCATTTACTTGCATTTCTGACACATACTGATTATCTGTGGCTCTGGCAAAAAATTCACAAAAAGTATTCAAGGGACAAAACAATATGTCACCTAAATAGTTATGAGGCAACCTATGAAGCACCAAAAAATATTTATATGGCAAGTTAGTTATAAACCTGTTTTGGTTGGTGCATACACAGACACTGAGTTTGTACAATTCTTTGGTGTTTTTAAGCCAAAACAGATTGCTATGTATTGGAGAGAACAACAGTGCATTAAAGAAAGATTTTTTTTTAAAAGATAAATGTTTTACTACTACTGATGTTTACTACTGATGTCCCCCCCTTTTTTAAAATTTGATTGATCGCTCTTCTTTGGAATTTTAAGTCTGATGACATTTTGACAAAGACTGTTCACTTTCACTCATTAGCTTGGCGAAAAATTAGTTGGGAAGAGTTTGTGACTTTTAAGTGTGTGTGTGTGTGGGGGGGGGATAAACAGAAAGTACTGCATTTCTTTACATATTCTAGTAATTTGAAAATTCTACTTGTGATATCCAAACCAATATATCCAAAATCTTCAAATTTTCAGTTATCATCATCATAAAGATTGGTAGCTTACTATAAAATATGTCAAGCCTTTTTAAAAATACCTACAAATACAGCCTTTCGCAATGTTTCAGTGATTTATATTAACAAATTTTATATTAAAATACTTCAAGAATTCTTGGATGGTCATACAGCTGCATCGATTTTGAAAAGGCAACTTTATTTCTGCTTTTCAGTGTACACAAACTTATAATATCCACTGCCTGAATAATGGGTGTACAGTTTTAAGGGAAAAGTTTAAAATAGAAATATCATTAACTTTATTTTAATGCGATAACAGCAATGCTAATCACCTGAATAACATAATAAATTGAATGAAATCAGAACATTAAGGAACAACTCAATTTGCATTGTTAGTTGAGCTTCCTTTTTCCCTGTTATGCCAACAAAAGAAAACCGTGGTGTACAATATTGCACTCCAGACAAGCTCGTATGGGTCAAAATGCTTACAAGTCACAAGGGTAGGTCTTCAAGCTTGTACGAGACAAAATGAAAATGCAGTTCTCTAACTGTTCTCTTCTGTGGTTTTTAAAAGCAAATATGCAGATACCTTGATATTATCATGGATAATGTTTCTTGGGACAAAAAAAAAGAATTTGTGGGAGGTCTCTATTATAGACCATTTTGATCATCAAACACATGGATTTTAGACTTCATACTGTACATGATAAGTCCAAAGGTTTACATGAATTTAAGGTATAAAAGGAGGTTCAGAATGTGTAAACTTTTGAACAGAATCCCATGTTCACCAAACTAATTCTGAATCAGTACAAGTCTTTTGAATGCAAAGGACTATTGTAGAAGTAACCACACTATTCAAACAGCTATTTAATGATTATGAAGGAGGAAAAACCCATCATAATTTTAAATAATTCAGAGTATTAATATGATGTACATATATGCATACACACATATTTTCACACAACTTCATTAATGAAGAAAACAGTATACTTTTTAATGCACCAACTATTAATTTGTTTCACTGCATCTGTTCAGGTAATTAGTTACCTTTCTGGCTCCCCAACATTTTAAAAAACCATTGCTCTCAGTTTGTTTCAGGGGCCGGTTAAACTCTGGAAAATGCCGCATATACACTGCTCGACATTGAAAATGCAACACCAAGAAGGAGTGGTAAAAAATTTATGCAAATTTTAGAGTAGACGCACGTCATTGAGTTATGCGAATGATGTGCAATGCGCAGCTCTCCGATGCAAGTGAAGTAAGATATAAGGGAAGGAGCGTGCAGAATGGACAATATTCGTGTTTGTTATTTCTGACAGACGAATTATCGAAGAAAGTTGGTTTTTATCCCAGAGGATATGTGGAGAGAATGAAAGGCACTTCCAGCAGATAGGCGATTTTACGAGGGGTATGGTGGTCGGACTGAGAAGGGCGGGTTGGTCCTTACGTCAAATCTCAGCTGATACCTACATGGATGCAAGCACGGTGCATCGGCTATGGCGAACATGGCTGAAACAAGGAAATGTGGGAAGAAGGAGGGGTGCAGGTACAGCCAGAGTGACGTCAGCACGCGCGGATCGACGCATCCGCCGACAAGCTGTTGCGGTCCCACAAGTCACTTGTACCGCGATTCTGCAGCATGTGCAAGATAGCCTGGATGTTCCCGTGTTGACCAGAACCATTTCCCGTCGATTGGCTGAACGTGGCCTGCACTCATGGCGTCCATTAAGAAGACTACCATTGACCACACAGCATAGATGTCAACCTTTAGAATGGTGCAGACTGGAGTGATGTGGACGAGAGAATGGCGAAACATTGTGTTCTCCGTTGAGTCATGCTTCTGTTTATCCAGTGACAGTTGCCACATATGTGTGTGGCGTTGACGTGGAGACAGATCTAATCCGGCAGTAACTGTGGAATGCCCCACCGTGCGACAATGTGGCATAATGGTTTGGAGCGCTACTGCCTAGGATTCCAGGTCACCTCTAGTTCGCATTCAGGGCACTAAGACGGCCCGACGATACTTCGATAATATACTGCGGCTGCTGACAATCCCCTACCTTCAGGGGCTATCTAATGCAATTTTCCAGCAGGATAATGCCCGACCACACAGTGCTCGCATCTGCCAACATTCTCTGCAAGGTATACAAATGCTTCCCTGGCCACCGTACACTCCTGACCTATCACCAATCGAACATGTGTGGGATATGATTGGACGCAGTTTGCAGACTCTGCCCCTGCCTCGTTCAGAAGATGAACTGTGGCAAATGGTTGAAAGGGTATGGAGAGCCATCCCTCAGGACACCATCCACACTCTTATATGCCTAGACGTGTTTCTTCGTGCATTGCTGTCCGTGGTGGTCCTACATCCTACTGAGCCAATGCCGTTCCTGCTCTGTATTCTGACTATCATTTTGAATTAAAAACTGCTTATTGCTGCTTGCTGTCTCTGTCTTTTTTCCAAATTTCATCACTTTCTGACCACTCCTTCTTGGTGTTGCATTTTCAATGTCGAGCAGTGTATAATTTTCTTTACTATCAATTGAAAGTTCAATATGATCATAAGGACATGATGATGCAGACAATGATATTTCCCTTAATCATCCAAGTATTAAATTATAATCTAAAGTATGCATTTTAAAAGGTATTGTAGATAAGAAAGATAATGGTTCATTGAACGTAAAGAAATTTGGTAAGCTGCCTAACTATTTGATAAATTATCCCTAAAATCTTTACCAATAAGGTCTTGAAAGGGATTTTACATCCCAAAACTTCACTTATATTTTTGTTTCATCAAAATAAATAAGTTTTCACAGCATCCAGACTATCAATATTCAAGGATGTTCTATATTCTCTTATAATATCACAAACATAATTAATTGTGTTTTCAATAATGGCTCCAAGGAACCAACTTAAAGCAAGTCCATTGGTTAAAGCTCCCATTGATGAATTAGATTTTCTAGAGGTGTTTTACATTCAAGAAAATCTTTCTGTTCTAGTTAGCGACCCTAATTTCAATCCATCTTTGACCGTTAGGAAATTATGTTTTAGTTTTCTTGTTTCATCAATAGAAGGCGCCAGTGACTTCTTTCTAGTCTTATCACCATATTCTATCTCTTAGGCAGCTGAAGAAGTTGGTTCTATATTTAAAACATCGAAATCAGTCCTGTAAAATTTACTAAAGAAAAAACACATTTTTTCCAGTAAGTTAAAGTATATTTAATCAGTTTTTCTACCAATGGGCATTTCTATCTCCTTTTAGCCTAAATACTTCAGCTAACAAGTTTAGAATTCTAGTTCCCCCCCCCCCCCTTTCTGTGTAAGACAAATGACTATCTATTTGATAGTTTTTGAGTTTTTGGTCAAACAGAATTTTTTCATCTTATGAAGTCACATTCAACATATTAGCTGTTTATTTCATCAAAGCAATGGAAGTAATTGTTGCAGAACAGAATTCATGTTATTAAATTTGCTGAAGACTGAGTTCTTTAGAAGTAGTCTTTTTTTGTCTTCATATAATCATCATATTCTATATATGCTTCTTACAGAATACAACTTAACTCCTTAATGATTAAGCTTTTCAGAATTCTATTGATTTTTGTACCTTCTGAACCAAAATAATAATAATAATCACAAACAATAATCTTGAAGATAATGAATCTATACCATGACATAATGCAGTCTGATCATATTATGCTTGTACTTGCAATGCTTCTATTCTGCCTGGATGGAAAAACATAATTCATTGCAAAAAAGGCTGGTCAGTTTTGCTAAGATGAGTTGACTTATTTTATGCTTTGATAAGATCTTGCTGCAGTCTTTTGTTTTTTAAATATTACATAGCACACAAGCAACCATAAAGCACAAAGAAGAAGTCAAAGCATTTCCAATAAATAATAAAGATAGAATGGCAGTTATTTACATGATAGAGGAGCTCCTTGGAAATATTTCCTTCCCCTCTAAAATGGGAGCTGAGCTTTCTTAGCATGCTTCCAATAAGATGTATCATCAGTGGATGATCACATCTGTATGTGCAATTTTTCAAATCTAGAAACTCTGGATTTGAGAACAGAAGAAATATGGAATTCTAGCTATATCCATACCATAACCACCCCAAGATTATAATAACAGCTGATCTTGACTCTACACACTAGCACACACATAAATGCATTGTGTGAAATAGGTGTGAAGGTCTTAGTCATCTCATACTGCAATCAGCTTAATACATTTTTTGCAAACACAATTACTCTTATGCACAGTTCTTGGGCATTATTTCAGGATTCCTTCCTAAAGGAGGATAAGGATTCTACCTTAAAGTTACATTCTAAATCTTCTCATTCTGTACATTCATGACAACCAATGATTAATTAGCTCAAATTATTTAATTACAAAAAATTTTAAAAAAACTGTTATGATGATATGAATAAAATGAGATCAAATCAATAAACAGTACAAATATTCTTGTTGTTATACCTCACTATCAACTTCCACAACACCATGACCAGTAGCATATTCTAAGTCAGATGGTACAGTAAACATTAAAACATCAGATACATTTTTCCAATCAACACAAAACTCTGAAATTTTATAAAGAAAATAATTAGAAAATGAAGCTGACATTTTAGTAAATTTTAGTAAAATGTTAAAAAAATATTGGAGCAAGCTTTCAGTATTGAGAAAAATTTACTTTCTGGTTACCTGAACAACTCCCGAAGAGTATTCAGAAGGAACGTGCAATTACCAAAATAGGCAATCCATGATACTACCAAATGATTTTATGAGGAAATCCAATTATGCAAACATACTGCAGATGAATGTCATCATTAATGCTTATTTTTGTTGCACTGACAATGGTCATTAGTATTTGCTTTTATTGCAAATGCCTTTTTTTCTTTCTCTTTTCTTGTAAGGAACCATAACAGGACTACGGGATTTGCTGATAGGTGAAAAAGATGCCATGTTTCATTCCTTCAGAAATATGGCATTTTGCCTAACAGTAGAGAATACAAAAATTCACATCCCATGAAGTTGTACTTCATAGATGATCTTTTATGGATCAAAATTTGTCCCCTGATGCTGAATTTATGCAGTTCTCTGATCTTTTTAAAGCAAAACAGACCACTGAGTACATGGGAAAACAACAACATGTGCAATGCCAAACTTGTGCAATTATCTCATATTTCTTGAATCTATAACAGACTGCTATGTTGTAGAGACATTAGGTATTTTGAAAGCAGGAAAGATGAAAAATTAACAAATGCCTTTGCTGGGAATCGAAGCACAGACTTCTGGATACCGACCCAGATTTGCAGAACCACTACACCACGAAGACGGGAGAAATACCTTATAACGTACACTGCTCAAAAAAAAAAAAAAAAAAAAAAAAAGGACAGTTCTATATCTCCTGTTCTACTGGTCCGATTAACAAAATCCAAATTGCGTTCTTTATGTCTTGATAGCGCGACTTTCTAACATAGGTATTTTGACACAAAATCAAACTTTTTCTGAAATAACAGACCATTTTTTTACATATTTCGATTCTACGACTCAAATTATGCCTAGATGCTAAATTTTGTAAAATTTAGTACGAAATTTACGGAGAAATTCAACAGTTGCACTTTTTTTTCAGTTGCGCCCAGAATAGTAAACTGAGCAAACTTTTTTAATATATGGCAACCTATTTTCCTTTCCTGTGAGTGGAAAAAAAGTCACAATCATTCTTTTTTTCAAATAATGTTCTTCATATTATATTATTAATTATAATTATTATTATTTTAAGTAATTTTTTTTTCTTTTTCAAACATTTTAATTGTTTAAATTGCATGCACGGTTTTTTTCTTTCGAATAAACTATTTTAAAAATTTCTTTTTACTCATTCGAACTGCGTAGTTTAAATAAAGGTGCATCGTTTTTTTTTTTTTTTTCAAATAGTTTTCTTTGTACTATATTTTTAGTTATAGTTACTATTTTAGGTAATTTTTAAATTTTTAGACTTTTATTTTAATTGTTAAGTGTTGCATTGTCTCTTCAGATCATTATTCTAAAATTTTCTATTTATTCATTTGAACTGAGCATTTTAAATATATTTATTAATATAATTTTCCAGGATTTTATTTTATTTATTTGAATTGCTGAATTGCGGTTCTTTCAGAAGAATACTTTGTGTCGCAGACTTCGATGCATCTGAAAACTGAATATATTAAAAGAGAAAATACAGTAAAGTACAGTTCACACGCCTTTCAATGTTCCGTTCAGAAAAGATATATAAATGAGAAAGATGTGTAACTGACATTTTAACTTAGGATGACTTGCATACACTGCTTTAAACAGTTTTATCATTGTGCACATTGCTTTACACAATTTATCCTACATTTGGTTTCTTAAAATGTTATTCATATTTTAGTCAAATATTTTATTTTTGAAATCGCAAGAATCAAATATCATAAGATTAAAAAGTTTTAAATTAAAAAAAATACAAATACTAAATTTTACGCAAAACTTTATTTTTTCTTCTCTTTTCCTTCAGACATTCTGCAAATATATGAAAAAGCATCCAACTTTTCGAAACATCTTGGTATTTCTAACAATCATTTTAAATAAAGTTATCACCTTCCATTTCATAAAGGCCCACAAACGGCAGAGCGTTAAAGTCGCTGAACGCTGGTAGTTCACTCCAGGATTTGAATCCTGGTAAACGGGTTGGTTGCATGGGCGTTTTCGTGGATTTTCTCATGTGTAATGTGTATGCCAGCTGGTTCCCTTAGAAAGTTCTTCACAAAGGCATCTTTCCTCTTAGGCAGATAGCCTTGCTTTGCCGTAATTTAATAATCCAATTCAATCCATTTCATCAGTATTTGGTCAGAGCCTTTATCTGTCCTTAGAGACTGAGTATTTTGAAGGTATGAGATGAAAGGAAAGGCTAGTTTCATCAACAGGTTTTGGTTTATTTAATTATGACAAAGCACACTAGGGCTATCTGCCTAAGGGAAGGGATGCCTTCGTGGAGGACTTTCTAAGGAAAACTGGCTCGTATACACGTTACACATGGGAATAACCATGAAAACGCCCATGCAGCCAGCCCGTTCGCGGGATTCGAACCACGGACTGAACTACCAGTGTTCAGCGACTTTACCACTCGGCCGCTATTTCATCCGGAGGGAAAAAAAACATCTTTAGGTGACATCCACATACATCACTGGATAAATTCCTGAATCTTCAAATAATTCGACTGAGAAAATCATGGGATCCTCCATTTATGATACAATATGGATGTGCCATAAACAGTGCTTTTGAGATAACTCCATATGTTACAACTCGAACGCGAAATGAGCGAAAGTTTCTCTTCAGCCAGTGGCAACGGGGAGTCAAAAAACGAACTTGGAAGAGAGCGGTCGCTCGGTTTTCTCTCGATAGAATTTGATACGAAGGGGGGATAATTCCCATCTTTTGATTTGAAATTAATCTCGAATTATGTATATATTGTAATATAAAAGATGTGTGTAAATAAAAGTCATTAAGACTTAATTGAAGTAGTGATTTAAATCGAATATAGAAATTGAAAGCTCTCCCAAATAGAACTATGGATTTTAGAAATGACTTATTTTAGTGGTGCCTTCACCAAGGGACTTTTGGATTAGAATTTCGAAGATTAGCAGATGGATTACCTGTAAACAGGTAAGCAATTCCTTTTTCTTTGAGAATTTGGAAAAAAAACTGAGTTTCGATATTGCGATTAGTCAGTTTTAAACATGGAAGCTTTAAACAAATTGAAACAGAAACGTAGGAATGAACGCAGTAGCATTACGAAATTAATTACAAAAAATAGAATCTTTATTATCAGAAAATATCGAAAATGCAAACATTGAGGAATTGCAGGAGATGAATGAAACTATTCTCGAAAGAGAAAACACGTTGAAAATGTTGAATTCACAAATCGAAATTCAGTTAAATGATGCTAAAGAATTTGAAAAAGATATTACTTTAAGTGATAAATACAATGAACAAATTATGTCTGCAAAGTTTAGAATTAAAATAAGATTAAATAAATGTAATGAAAATTTGTCTGTGAAAAATGCATCAGATGCAAATTCTTTGAACACTTCTGTTTCTGAAATAAATGTATCGTCATTCGGCTATGAAATTGCCAAAGTTAAAGCCAAAAGTCCCTTGGTGAATTTCAAAAATTTCAGGAGATGCACGAAAATGGTTAGAATTTTTTAACAGTTTTCAAGCTGCGATTGATCAAGAATAAAGTGTTAACCAAGATTGAAAAATTCGTATACTTGAAATCATTATTGATAGGGCAAGCATATAATGTCACGTTGAAGGATTTTCAATTAACCGAACACAATTACAATTACGATTCGTGCTTAGAACTTTTAAAAGAACGCTTCAGAAAACCAGAGAAAATTATAAAATCACATATGAGTAATCTTTTGGACATAGAACCAGTTAAAAATTCTTCTAACTTAAATGCACTAAGAAGATTACACGATGCTTGTGAAATAAACATTCGAAGCTTAAGTAATTTAGGAGTAACTTCAGGTTCGTACGGACACTTGTTAAATCCGATATTATTGTAATTATTGCATCATGATTTGATTCTCGAATATCACCGAAAGTGTGATCCAAAAGAGGAATCTGATGTTACAGGTTTAACTGCTTTTTTGAAAAAAGAAATTAAATGCTGTGAACAAACGTACACACTTAACAAACCGGATCCGAAATTCATTCCATTGAACAGAAAGAATAAACATTTCAATAAACACAAAAGTAATTTTAAATACACAAACAATAAGTTTAACTCTAAAAGTTAACTCATTCGTCGGCGGCAGAATTAATTAGCCCCTGTAAAAGAAGAAAATTGTATTTTTTTTTTTTTTTTTTTGCAAAAATAACACACATAGTAGTGAAAAGTGTAATATGAGTGTAAATGAAAAACGAAATGTATTTGCTGAAATTAGAAGGTAGTTATGTTATTGTTCTGCTTGGATCAAGGTCATTGATTTTCTGACTGATCCAAGAAAAACTCTTGTGTATACTGCCACAAAAAACATAATGTAACCCTTTGTTACAAAAATGAGAAATAACCCGAAGGCATCGCAATCAAGAGGTGTAGAAAATTCAGCAGTGCAATCATACGTTAGCATCGGTAAGGAATAAAATATTTTTACAGACAGCGACAGTAGAACTTTAAAGTAGGTCACACAATAAATTAGTTTGTTGTTTATTTGACAGCGCTAGTCAACACTCATATATTCAGAAGCATCCATCTAAACAACAGGGATTAAAAGTTGTGGGAAAAGAAGAAATAACGATTCACACTTTCGGATCTCAAGTTCCTACCAAACAGAACTGCGCGTGAGTAGAAGTAAAAATTAAAAAAAATTTTTGATCATCAGGAATTAATTATTGAGGTTTATAGAGACTGATGAAATATCGAATGCTGAGCTAGACTATCCTCCGCAAAATATTAAGGAGTTGTTGAAAGATAGGGGAAAAATTTTAGCAGACGTTGATCACGAATCTTTAGATAACAACGTATCTTTACTCATTGGAGCTGATAATTATTGGAAAT